AAATGAACCCTTTCCCACCTAAAGGTGAATTGTTATTAATGTAACAAATAGGTAGACAATGTGTAGAGGATGGGTGGGCTCCTTTGAGCTCAGCCACCAGCCTAGTATACCCAGCAAACTACATAATTGTCCTGGAACCTTTCTGTTCACATGAACTGGGTAGGCTGCTGGCTGCATTCATGGTGCCATCTAGATGAAACTGAACATTAACTCACTGCCCCGCCGAGCTGTCTCTGAGTGACCTTATGTTCCATTGTGTGGAATACAGGTTCATGATAGCATGCAGTTGCAGAACCTCCACTTCTACCCAGAAGCATGACAGAAAATAGATAGGAAGAGCATTGATCCTTGGTCAATGCATGTACAAGTGACAGTTCCTTTTCTTCTCCTGGATTCTAAAATATTTTTTAAAGTTTTGGTTAAATACAGTATTATTTAGTTTGAAAACCTAAAATAATCAGAAGAGCCATAAATTTGTTTAGTTTAAATGTATAAAAATTATATGTAACAGGCTTGTTGGCTAATAAATGGGAACAACAAACGTGCATGGTAACTTTGTAGTTCAGTGCTCTCTCTCTCTCTCTCTCTCTCTCTCTCTCTCTCTCTCTCTGTGTGTGTGTGTGTGTGTTGTATGAATGTGTGCACTCAGATATGCATACCTTTGTGTGGAGGCCAGAGGAGGACGTGGGTGTCATCCTCTATCACACTCCACTTTAGTCCTTTGGTTTCTCACTGACACTGATTTTCAGTTACTTTTGTCTTTCTTCACCCTGTATGCCATAATTATGAAAAATGCTTCCAAGGACTGTGGTGGTATGTACAGTCAATGCTGAGGCCCAGGCTTCAATCCCTCCTAGTATAGGAGGGAGAAGATTGAAGTCGTTGCTAAATGACCCTGAGAGGGATGCAAAATTGCCCCTAGTTGAGGATGCCTGCTGAAGATTTTTCTCTACTGAGATTGGGTTCTCACTTCATTGGCTCAGCTTTCTATAATAGGCATGAATTTCAAATTGAGAAAATGAAATAAAACCAAACAATTGATTTTTCCTTTAGAATAAAGATACCATAGTTTTAAAATTGAGGCCTTGTGCTCATTTGAAATTCAAACCTTTAATATACTAAAAGTACATACAGTTCATTTTCCGAATTTGGGAAAGAACATTTTAGAGACAAAAGCAGTTGAGTCACAACTGAGGGCTGTTAAGTGATTGACTGAGAGGTTGCAGTAGATGAGGTGTGAGGGGCAGTTTATTGGGTTCATTGCTGTGATCCATGCTTATGTGGATGTGGGTACTGTGTCTAATCATCTGCTCCACTGAGAGAGCCTCTAATTAAAATGATGCTCTGGTGGGAAGGCCAGATGTGTAGGTTGGGTGGCTGTGTGATAAAGCAAAGCACTATTTACAGAGTGTAAGTGATGTGTGTGTGCCAATCACCTTCTTTTAATTCTAATAGAATGTTGGTGGGAGGATCAATCTTTAGAGGTGCTGGCTAAGGTGGCTTTCTTTACACTTCTGTTATTTCTTTTGGATGTGCTTCAGTTGCTTTTCCAATAATACTATAGTAATTAGATAATACAGTTGGTGGTCCAAAATCCAGGCTCTAATTTTGTGTCTCATTTAAAATGGTGATCATGCTGCTCAGTGAAATATGGAAACATTTTTTAAGCTGAAAGCATTGTAGAGAAGTCAGTTAGATGGCTCAGTGGGTGAAGGTGCTTGCTGCTAAGCCTGGTGATCTGAGTTGGATCCTTGGATCACACTTGGTGAAAGGTGAAAACCCATAGGGCCAGTGATATGGTTCAGTGTGTAGGGGTCCTTGCTGCAATGACCTGAGGTTAGTTTCTGGGACCCACATGGTGGAAGACAAGAACCAATTCCACCACCTAAATGTACACACACATACAAAAATAAGTAAATCAGAGAACTCACCTTCTCCAAGTTGTTCTCAGACCTCTGCTATTTTCTTTTCTTTTCTTTCTTTTTTTTTTCTCTCTCTCTTTTTTTTTTTTTTACCCTCCTGTGAATCTTTTTGACACTTTCCAGCTGTTGAATGGGAATGATTTTCCTATTGTTGTAAGGCTAACCTCCAGATGTGTCCTATCCCTTATTAACTGAAAGACATTTGCCTTTGGAAAGCACTCCTAATTCTTCATATTTCTCCCCCGTTATCTTGACCCTGAGATATCAAGTGCATCATTTAAATTGCCCTTGAGAAGACTCTTGCTGGTCTTGGTGAGGGTACTTGCAGTGTTGGTAAACATGTAACTCTGAAGCTCTGGGCTAACCGAGAGAGGGTCTTTTCACTCTTCTGTTAGAACGTTTCATTCTCCCACTTTAGTAATGGATTGGGGGATTTATGTGCAAAGTACTGTAGTGCTCTCCATTATTTTAGAGTAGTCTGAGAGGAGTTTGTACATGCACCATCGGTAGGCTTGGATCTCGTAAGCCCAGGAGAATGGGGTGGACAGGACAACTCCTGAGCCAAAACAGGAGGCACAGAGTTATTTGCTGCTGTCACTTTAAGAGGTTCTCATTGCATTATCTGCTCTTTGTAGACTCATTTTCCTTTTTATCTGAAGATTCAGAGGCTAGGTTCTGTCTTCCTGTTGAGCTTCAGGGGGCCACATGTGGAATGGATGCTACAGAGGTGGATCAGTTTCTCTGCGCACAAAGGAGGAACAGAGATTTTTTTTCCTTGTCCAGTCAAAGGCTCCTGACAAAGGTAGAAAAATATGAAGGCTTAGGGGTGGGAAGAAATCCAAAAGAGCCTGATATTGTGAATTCTTGGACTTGTCTACACAGGTTCTAAAAGAAAATTGTTACTAATAAAAGGTGTCAGCTTTAGCCCGGTATGGTTGTGCACACCTTTAACCCAGCACTCGGGAAGCATAGGCAGGCAGATCTCTGTGAGTTCCAGGACAGCCTGGTCTACAGAGTAAGTTTAGGACAGCCAGGGTTATGTAGCCAGCCAGCCTGTCTGTCTATCCATTTGTCTACCTGCTCCTTCCCTCCCTCACCTCTTATTTCTAATTGTTTTCTTGTTTGTTTCAGACAGGGTGTCTTGTATATAGACTTGCCTTGAACACAACTGTCTAGGAGGATGACTTTGAATTTCTGATGCTTCTACCTGTACTTCCTAGTGCTGAGATTGTTCATGTACATACCTGCACCTGATCTGTGCAGGGCTGGGGATTGAACCCAGGGTTTCACATATGCTAGGCAAGCGTTCTCCCCATTGAGCTACATCTCTAGCTTCTTAGGAGTTAGTTTCCAATAGAATATTAATTTAACATCTTATAGTTGATTAAATTATTCAGAGATCTTATACGTGTGATTTGTTACAAACATAATCTCAGGACTGGAGAGATGGCTCAACAGTTAAGAGCGCTTTGTTTCTCTTGCAAGAGGATTAGGGTTTAGTTCCCAGCACCCACATGGTGACTTACAACCATCCATAGCTGCAGTTCCAGAGAACCTGCTGTCCTCTTCTGATCTCTGAGGGTACCAGGCACATACATGTAGGCAAAACACACACATAAAATAATACATTTATTTTTAAGAATCATAATCACTGAGCAAGAAATAAATGAGTGAGGAGGGCTGTAGGACTGGACACCTTTGGTCCTAGTTTGAAAGGGACATGTTTGCCTTTCTAGCAAAGACTTCATTCTTGCAACTTGCTTCTTAGTTCTTGTGTGTAAGCATGATTTGCAGCTCCCACTTTTTTCCTTCTTATCAAATTGTACTAACAAGTTTCTTTTGCTTCCTATTGGTTTTTGAGACAGGTTTTCTCTGTGTAGCCTGGCTGACCTTGAAGTCACTGAGATCCGCCTGCCTCTGCCTCCCAAGTGCTGGGATTAAAGACGTGTGCCACCACCACCCAGTTAACAAGATTTTTTAAACATGTACTTACACAGTGCAAGTTACTCTGAGGGAATACACAGAATTAGAAAATGTCTTCAGATAATACACTCATTTCCACATTGGTAGAATAATGATACTTTTATGGAATAAGTATTCTGTAGACATGATGTTGGTTATAATGATGGTTTCATAACATCATTGTCATTACAAACTCCATGTAGGAAACTCTTGGATAAGTTCAGTCCAAGTTCTTCCAAGAATATTCTCCTGAAATGCTGTTGACACAGTAGGAAAAAAATGTTTATCCTCTTTTTTGATCAACAGATATTTTTTGAGCCTATCCTTTTAATTTAGAATATAAGGAGAGAATAGATTCCATATGAAAATAATCAGAGGGTGTTGTAATGTTGTAATGTTGCTGGTGCCTTGAAATTAATGGAAAGAGTCTTTATGGACTTTATGATAAAACACCTCCTAATTTCTTTTAACATTAAGACAATGGGAACATAGTTATCTTAGAGTAGAACTTATAACACTTTCTCTGTAATTTCTCTGTAATTTCACAGCCAGTTCTGAGGACTGTAGGCTGTCCATTCTCTGTTGTAACTGCTTACCTTTGCAGATAGTAAGCCCCTGGTGGTACATAAATGAATGAACATGGCTGTGTTTCAATAAACTTTATTTATGTACACTAAGATTGGAATTTTATGTGATTTCTACATGTCAGAAAGTACTCATTTTTGAAGTTTTTCTTCCAGCCACTTAAAACTTTAGAAACCATTTGGGGGATTCTGCACTCATCTGCAAAGGTAAGCTGTTGTAACAAAGAATGGACAGCTCACAGAGTCCTCATAGGTCATACCAAAGGAGAAAGAAAAAGAAGAATAAGCTGTTGGTTGCTGCTTCCTGTGGCCTTTTATGACAGTGACTTTAAGTATTTTGAAACTAGTTTAATGTGTTAGAGTTTTAGAATTCTCTTACCTTTTGAGGGAAGGATGAATAAATTTTACCTGTGTCTTCTGTGTGAAATTTATAGACCAGATTGGCTGAAGTGAAGTTAGATGATTGAGATGTCCATTTGAAAATGGTTTCTGATTGGAGTTGCTGAGCTCTCTTGTGTCTTTTTTTTTCCAGCGAAACTAGCAGTGTGTGCAGCAGCAGTGATGCGGGGCTCTTCACCAATGACGAAGGACGGCAAGGTAATCTTTTTAAACATTCGGAAGCTTTTTTAAAAAGACTCTTACTTTTTAAATTTTAAGTTATGTGTATACATGTGTGTCTGTCTGAGTGTGGTACGTGCATGGTGAGTGCAGTCACCCAGGAGCCCAGAAGAGGACGTTAGATTCCCTGGGAGCTGGAGTTAAACAGGCTTTGTGGGCTGTCTGATAAAGGTGCTGTAAACCAAACTCTGGTCCTTTGGAAGAGCAGTACATACTTTGCTGCTCTCTGGCTCCCTGGCAAAGTAGTCTTGATTCCAGCTTTGGGACTTTGTCTCAGTGATTGATTTCAATGACTGGAGTGACTTACTGAAGGCATAGGAGAACCACTTGGGGAACTGTGAAAATTCCAGATTTTCTGAGCTGCTAGAAATCAAATAGATTTGGAGTTGGTCCCTGAAATCTGTAGTTTTTACAAACCCCCAAAGTTCTTATATAGTAGTTCTTACATAGTTCTTATATAGTAGCTTATAGTTTGAGAATCATTAGTCCATGGGGTCAGAGTGTCAAGGCTGGAGCTTGTGAAAGTTTCTTTTAATTAAAACCAGTAATAGTCTCGTACATAATTCTTTTGGAGAGGGTTGATATGTTCTTACTTTTACTGAGGAATAACTTTTACCTTATTTAAGTTTAAATGCCTCAAGATTATGACAGAGTCATATGAATAAGCCCTGTAATGTCCTGAGTGAATATTTAATAAGTGTCTTAAAAAGTCACCAAGTATCCCACTTAAATGTGTATTTTTTTCCTGAAGGAGCCGTGTGTGTGTGTGTGTGTGTGTGTGTGTGTGTGTGTGTGCGCGCGCGCGCGCGCGCGCGCGCGCGCACGCACCTGTTGCCTTTTGTTTTTGTTCCTTGTACCTGCTGCCTTTTGGTTTTGTTTGTTTTTAGATGTTTTTAAAATTTATGTATATGAGTGTTTTGCCTGCATGTAAGTAATGTGTACCATGTGTATGCCTGGTAACCTCATAGGTCAGAAGAAGGCATTGGATCCTTGGAACTGGAGTTGTGGATGCTCATGAGTCCCTGTGTGGGTGCTGGCAACTGACCCCAGGCTCCTAACTTCTAAGCCATCTCTCCAACCTCTGCTTTTTTTAAAAAAAATACCTCTTGTGTTATGTGCTTTCCATTGAAGCATTCCACAGCTAGGAATTACTATTTTAAAATACTCATTTTATTTTTTGTGTATGTGTGTGCCTGATTGTATGTATGTGCATCATGAGGGTACATGAACCTGAAGAGATCAGAAAAGGCATCAAATCCCCTGCAACTAGAATTGTAGACAGTTGTGAGCTACTGTTGTAGGTGCTTGGAACCGAACCCAGGTACTGTGTGAGAACAGTGAACGATCCTAACACCGAGCCATCTCTCCAGCCCTATAAGCATGGCCCCTTATACATTGCCCGTAATGCAAGAGCCCCTATTGAGTTGATAAACCCAGGTAAGTATAAGCAAGGGTTCAGTAAGCCTCCAAACTAGACTATTCCGTGCGTAGAAAAAAGGTTTACTGGGGATCAAATTGCTAAGGCTGTTTCTAGGAGAGGGTGGCAGAGAGAAGCAAAATGGCAGGATTTTATCTGACAGTCTCACAGTTTCTGCTACTTCAGCCAGTCCTTTTCTTCTTATTTGTTTGTTTGTTTATTATTTTGGTTTTGAGGCAGGGTCTCTCTGCATAGCCCTGGCTGCCCTGGAACTCATTATGTAGACTAGGCTGTCCTCAAACTCACAAAGATCATCCTGCTTCTGCCTCCTGAGCACTGTGGCACCATGCCCTACTACAAGTCCTTTTTAAAGATTTTTATTATTGGATCATGAGTGAATTGTGACAACCCAGATTCCCATTCTGCAATAATTCATTGTCAGAAAACATGATCTGGTGCGTTTACCTGGTGCAGTGCATGTCCCGAGAAAGGCTCTGGATGAGAATGGAATGAGCACAGTCACAGTGCATAGAAACTGGCTGTGTTTACCAGTGTCTGTCCTGAGTCCACCTGAGACACTGACTGCTGAGGCGCATGCACAGTGGTGCTCTCTAATGGTGCTCCCCAGATCTGCTCAGCTTCATGACAGAACTTGCTAGTGTTTTGTTCAAATCAGAAACTTTGGTAGATAGGGCCCAGCAATCTGTTTGTCACCTGACATGTGTCGTCATCATCTCACTTTCTCCACATCCTGGTTTTGACAAGCCCTTCTAGTGCATCTGATGCTTGCTGAAGTATGAGAACCTCTGTTTTCAAGACAGAAAAGAGCATCTTCTTTAGTGCTTGGTGGTAATAGCTATTATTTGCAGAATACAGGCTTTATTGTCCTCCTTGGAGATTCAACATCAGTTTTAAGAGTCATTATTATCCTCGTGGGTAGTGGCTTCATGTATTTGGCAGATGGGGCTTGGTACATGTGTGTTGGGAGATGAAGGTCTCATGAACTTTAGATGTTGTTGTAATGGTTTATTTATTTTTGCAGTTTGGTGCCTTTTTCTTACCTGTCTTGTTAGCAGGAATACACTCTAGTGGTAGAAACTGAACTGTTGTATGGTAGCTGATTGAAAGTTCAAACCAAGAGGTTGGATGTATGGGTTTGTTGAGACCTTAACCATTAATGAACAATATGGCCTCTGGCAAATGTCCTAGATCCTTGAAAAGCTTAGGGAGTTTTATTGGTTGTTTCTGTGGTTATTTTTTTCCTGGTAGCTTGGATTTCTAGTTCAAAGTGATTTTCTGCCTCGTCAATGAGATACCAACCAAAACAAAGCGTGGGCATAAATTCTTTACTCATCTATTGTGATAAAATGCAAATATGTAAAAAATCCCCCAGCAATAAAAGCTAATTTTTGAATTGAAGAACATTTATTTATGACTTTGAACTGTATTTATCTTCACAATGGGTAATGGTAAGGAAGGCAGTTTGTTTTTATGGGAAACACTTGGGCTTTGTCAGGTTGTAGGTTCAAATTCTGACTTCATTTACTAGCTTAACCCTGACTTCTAGGCATTAGTTGCCTCACTGTTAGTTGGAGCTATTGTGTGTTTTGGAAGAGATAACATATTTTCGGGTTTTCCATGTGAATTCTGGAGGGCTGTAAGACTAGATTTAGATTTTACTTTTGAAGTGGTGAAAAAAACAATCCAACATTCATGTGGAACTATATTGATATCTTAGTTTTCATCTTAGTGTACCAAGAGGAACTGGACAGTTCTTTTGTACTTTGGTTTATTTGACAGTATCTAACTATAGCATTAAGAAACCTTCCTAGCATTTGGATTTTAACATGACAGCTCAGGACACGATCTGTTTGCTTTAGGGGACGATGAGCAAAGTGATTGGTTTTATGAAGGAGAATGTGTCCCCGGATTCACTGTCCATAACCTTCTACCCAAGTGGGCTCCTGATCACTGCACTGAAGCAGAAAGAATGGACTCCGGACTGGATAAACTGTCAGATCCCACATTCCTTTTACCTTCCCGGCCAGCTCAAAGAGGTGAGTTTAGAGAAGACCAAAGTCAGGGTCATGGCTTTATGGTTCTCTTTGGGAAGACTTAGTGTGCTCTGCTCTATCACTCGAATGTCTCTGAATGTCTCTGACCATCCATTACTCTCTGAATTGTGGAGTTAGTCATAGGTGAATCACAAAGCTCATGGTCTCCCATCCCTAAGTTGACTCGTTAGGCTCTTGGGACACTTTAGGAAGCCTGGCATCAGTCATGGCACAGTGACATACGCCGTTGCAAAGCTGATGCAATGCTTTCTGAATGCTCGTTGGGAGCTTGAAAGATTGGCTCTTACAAAGAACATTCACAAACAAGAAAATAGGGCATTTTTAAGTGGATTTTTTTGGTTTTTTTAAGTGAATGGTTTTGAAATACTTTTTAAATGTATTTGTTTTAATGATCCTATTATTGTGTACTCGACACAAATACATATATGTTCCTTTGCTTTATGTCAGTTCTAAAGGAGAAGGATGGGGTGGAAAGGGCCCATAACAGGAGACAGAAATGTGGTGACACTTCTTTTTCATTTTATTTTATTTTATTTTTGTTTGTTTGTTTTTTTGTTGTTTTTTTTTTTTTTTTTTTTGTTTTGTTTTTTCAAGACAGGGTTTCTCCGTGTAGCTTTGGAGCCTATCCTGGCACTCGCTCTGTAGACCAGACTGGCCTCGAACTCACAGAGATCCGCCTGCCTCTGCCTCCCGAGTGCTGGGATTAAAGGCGTGTGCCCACCAACGCCCAGCGACTTCTTTTTTAGTTAGCTCCATATTGTGACAAGGTCATTTCAATTTTTGGAATGTCTGGGCCATTGCCTAAGATGTGTGACAATGAGCAGGACTGTTTTATAGGAAGTTGCAATCAACCATTTGGCCAGTTTCCTGGTATTGTTGATGTTTGGTGCTCAGAGTGGCACACCTGTGATGATACTGCTCAGGACAAAGATAGGGGCACAGTAAGTCTTTGGCAGATAGCCTTGTGGAGATGCTGGGGTAAGGGCTCCACTGTGCTAGGATATCTGTGCTTATGGATCTTGTATGTTCAGTAACTGACGCTGCCTTCTTTCCACAGGATACCATGCTCGTCTGAATCGGTTGCCAGGAGCTGCAGCTCGGTGCCTTAGGAAGGGGCGGAGAAGGCTGGCTGGGAAGGTGACAGATGTCATGGTTTCTCCAGTGCTGTGGGAAGGTGGTAGTCCCCATGGGATTTGCGTGCCCTACTGACAATTGAAGGCATCACAGGACTCTCTGGAGTTAATGAAAACAACTGAGATATTCTGGGAGTTAAGGGTGAATGAACATTATGTGGGATTTGAATGGATACAAATGTGAAAGATAAGATTTATTTATGTATTTATCTATTATGTGTACAGTATTCTGTCTGTGTGTATGCCTGCAGACCAGAAGAGGGCACCAAGTCTCATTACAGATGGTTGTGAGCCACCATGTGGTTGCTGGGAATTGAACTCTGGACCTTTGAAGAGCAGGCAGTGCTCTTAACCGCTGAGCCATCTCTCCAGCCCCAAGTTTAAAGTCTCTTTTGGATTCTTTACAACTCCTGAATTCAGGAATGTGTTTTTATCCTAATGATTTTTTATCCTAGAATTGATTTAAAAGGAGAAAGCTAAACAACAACAAACAGAACCAAATGAGCAATACCTTCTCCCCGACACATAAAGTAGCACTAAGCCTGCTTCACAGTAGTAGTCCAGGAGCTCTTCCCTGGCCCCTAGGGACACCTACTTCTTGCCAGGGCCTGTGCTGGGCACTGGGCCATTGATTCTTCCCAACTGTTGCTTTAGCCCACAAGGAGAACTTAGGTTCAAAGAAGTAAGAAATGTGTGGTATTCCCTCCATCCACGTAGCAGAATAGAGACTTGAACCTAGGGTAACTTTATTCTTTTAAAACTAAATTTATTTTTATGTTTTACCCTTTGGAGACAGGGCCTCAATGAAATCCGGACTGGCCTGATACTTGCTTTGTGTCCTAGGCTGGCCTTCAACTTGAAATTGTTCTGTCTAACTTCCTGAATCCTAGGATTATAGGCATGTGCCAAGCTCTTGATTTAAATTGTATTCCAGCTTTGAGATTGAGAAATAGGCTAAGACAAAGGTTCCATAGCCGGACAGGGAAGATGGTAGTGAGGAAGAGTTTGTCAGGCATTTACCATGTTTGCCAAGTCATGTGAATGGTTGGTGGTCACATTCATCTGGCTACTGCTTTGTATTGTAGTCTACCCAGAGACCTATTTTCTGGACTTTGGAGCATTGGGGGGAAAGAAAGAAATAAGAGGTCTGGCTAATTAATTTGTGTGTGTGTTTATCTCAGAAAACAATTTGCAGGAGTCACTTCTCTTCCTTCAATCATGGGGATCCTGGGATTGAACTCAGGTCATCAGATTTGGCAGCAAGTGCCTTTACCTACTTAGCTATTTTTCCAGCCAGATTCTTTTTTCTTACCTTTAAATTCCAGTTCCACTCTTTAACTAGAGAGGCATTTGAACATTGGAAGAATCACACTATGTTCCTTTTGGCTTACTCCATGTACAGACCATGGACCTGAACACCCTTGTTGGTTTTAGGAGCTCACTCCTTGAGAGGTAGTCCTTCTGTGTGGGTGGGGTTAAGGAAGGCAGAAGTTTGAGGGTAGAGGACTGAGGTTTTACTCTGCCTTCTGTTGATTAGGTAGAGTAATGGTCTCCTCCCATCTGTTGCCTTTCTTTAAGCTCAACAAATTAAGAGCTGTCTGCTTCCATGGACATGGGTTAGTTCATTTTGAAGGCTCTCTTCAGTGTGCTTGAGAGGAATCTAGGCTTTATTGGACATGCAGCTAACGACCTCAAGCAAATAGGGTGAGATGTGCTTCTAAATTCATCTTCATCACCTTAAAGGGAGATCTGTCATTTCTAGAAGAGGTCACCGCTCTGCTCTCCCTGCTTCTCTCCTTATCCCTCTCTTCTCTTTCTAAACTGTAATCATAAATAATGAGTTTCATTCACAGCTCCCTGCCAGCGAGCTGCTAATTACACAAAGTACTGCTTGTAATTTACACAGTAATAAACTGTAAATTTAAATATTACGGCATTTTAAGTTAATAATTTTTCTACTGTAACAAATAGCTCATTATTCACCCATCTCTTCCCTTGGCCTCTCTACATTCTGTATCTCTGAACTGGAGGCATAGCCAGAGGGATGAAAAACATGAAGAATGTAACGAGAGAACCCTCTGCTTACCCCCACCCCTGTTTAGAATCTGACCTCAAATTAATTTTTCTAGAACTGGTGGTTCTGTTAAAGTGTGTTTCCTATTCTTCAGGCTAACTCATACACAGAGTTGAGTACAAATGCCAAGACACAGATGTTTTTGAGGAGCACTGACATTCATGCCTGTGTCTTGTGCCCCCTTGCCTTAGCACTTCCTCTTGTGTGTGACTTTTGTTTCTGGGCAGGTTGCTGTGGCAGCTGTCATTGTAAATGTGCTCGTTAGGGGAGGGTGAGTGCCTTCTAGTGCCTTCTGCCACTCTCCAGTGGAGGTGACAGGCTGAGAGCCCTGAATTTTAGAATCAGTTCATACAGCCTTCTGCTTTTACTTTGAAATAATGTTCAAGGAACAGAACACAGTGATAATCTTTGTGATTTGTGACTGTGGTGTGCTTTGTTGTCTCAGGGCCTTGTGTACCACTGAACTGTATGGATCTAGCCTGGCTGCTTAGTTGTGTAATTAGCATAAGTTCTTTAATGCATAGACATGTAGTCAGCAGATCCTCAGTGATGTTCATTCAGTGTTTGTGGCACTTGTTGAGCCTCAGTCAGATAGTTCATGGAGCTTAGTGTGCTCTTCTGCTGAAAACGTCTTCCTGTCCCTGAGTATGGTGACATACACCTCTAATCTCAACACTCGGGAAGCTGGAGCAGGAGTTTGAGGCCAGCATTAGCTAGCTACACAATGAAATCATTTCTCCCCCCAAAAAAGTGTTGAATCTTCCAAAAAGTTTTTCTGCTTCTTTATACTCTAGGAAGTGTTACATATACATCTAAACAACTAACAACTATATACATGTTGAAACAGTATTTGAGGGCTGGAGAGATGGCTCAGAGGTTGAGAGCACTGACTGCTCTTCCAAGGGTTCTGAGTTCAATTCCTGGCAACCACATGGTGGCTCACAACCATCCGTTATGAGATATGGTGTCCTCTTCTGGTGTGCAGATATACATGGAAGCAGAATGTTGTATACATAATAAATAAATAAAATCTTTAAAAAGAAAAAGAAACAGTATTTGGTATTAGTTTTATATTTCACTTATGTGTCAATTAAAAAATAAACAGAGCTGGAGTTTATTGCTCAAGTTGGCAAAGTGCTTGTGGAGGACTTGAGATTGTTCCCCAGAACAATATGGGAGAAACACCTCGGGTGCAATGGCATGCTTGTAATTCCAGCGCTGGGGAGGAGGAAGATAGCTAAGCTCAGGCCAGGAGAGACTCTGTCTCAAAAAATGTGGACAGTGCCTGAAGAATGACACCTGAGATAGTCTTCTGGCTTCTACTCATGCACACACTTATGAGTGCCCACACACGTGTACCTGCGCACACACACTTATACAAAACTAAATTTAGAATAGAAAAATATCCCAAGCCCAACAAACAGTATTTATAACGGCTTTTTAAAAGCCTTTTAAGTCAGCAGAGAATAGCTAGGTAATAGATGATACTTCTAAGATGTACTCCTATTAAAAAAAAAATAGTTGCTGTTGGATTTTAAGATTGATACAACCTTAAGATTGCTTGGTATGGTTAGAGAAAAATTTAGCTTGGTAACAGCTTAAATTGTATATATTTGCTTCTGTGGTTTGATGACACTCTTTTTCTTATCTTTTTAGGAAACCAGCATAAGCAGTCTAGGAACCGAGAGGATAAGCCATATCATCAGTGACCCCCGGCAGAAAGAGTAAGTACCTAAGTGCCTACTGCTGTCCTAGCCTGGTCCTTGGAGAAGGAGGTAGAGAGGGTTTCTATAAAGCAATCTTTCTATTAGACTTGAGAACCGAAAGAGGGCATTTTAGAGATTGGTGCTTGCTAACAGTTAAGATGGGTAAAATCAGGCTGGCAAGATGGCTCATGGCTAAAAGTGCTTGCCACCTGTTGTTGCATGTTTGATGACCAGAGTTTAATCCCAGAGCCAGAAGGAAAGAACCAACTCCATAGAGTTGTCCTCTGACCCTCACAAGTATGCTATGACATACACAATAATAAAAAAGTAAAATTTTAAGATGGCTAAAGTCTTAAATCATGACAGTGATTTTTCTTTTTCTTTCTAGAGTAGTTTTTTGTTGTTGTTGTTGCCTGTTATGTTTCTAGGTGTTATATTAATATCCACCACTAAGAGACTATATTTTAAATGCATTTTTCTCTCTTAATTTTTTTAAAATGGTTGTTCCAAATGCTTCTGTTCTCCTTCAGGCCTCTTTAAGGAGAAATCTTTTTGTCCCTGTTACCATGGTGAATGCAGTAGGAATCATGAATGGAGCTGCCTTTCTCATAACAGCTTCATTTCCTAAACAGTTGGCTTTGCTGTGTGCTTTGTCTTCTTATGGGTCTTCCATGGCTAAAATTTGAATATCTGCTGAATAAATACATATATATTGGGACTAGGGAGATGGTTCAGTGGATCAAGCATAAGGATTAGAGTTTGGATCCCCAGCACCCACATAAAGAAGCAGGTGGTATGGTAGGCCTGCCTGTAATATCAGCCCTTGACAAGTAGATCCCAGGGCAAGCTGACCAGCAGGGAGCTCTAGGTTCAGTGAGAGACCTTGCCTCAATAAATGAAGTGGAGAGTGAGCTTGGAAGACATCACAATGACCTCTGACCTCCACACACGTGTGTACCTGTGACCTTACATTCCTCCATTCACACACATACATGCATACATATCAACTATGTATGTTAAAAAAAAAAAAGCAGCCCACATTTGTATATGCTAAAGAAATTGTATAGTTTATTCCTTAATCATTATGGTCAGTACCCAAGAGCAGTCCTATACATAAACCTAGTCTGATTTTGGAGTTTGAGTCCTTTTCTCGATGCACAGCTGAGATAAGGCTGTGTCTTAGTTGGCTCTTCCTTGTCTAGTTTTCTGCTTTCCACTTTTGCCTTCTCCACTGCAGTTACTTCAGGGAGACTGTTGTTCACACACAGCTGGCGTCCTTCTCCTTCAGCTGCATCGCTCCCAGTTCCTTCTTTGTCTTCACTCAGTATCCCACCTGTGATCGTCTTCCCTCTTACTTTTCCTATCACTTCTTTTATTGTTTTCTTTCCTGTTATTCTCTCTTCAGTTTCTGCTTACCATCAGCTGGGAAAAGAGAACGAAAGCAGGTAAGATAATTTTGGGGGGTCATCTTTTATCATTCAGTTTCCTTTTCTTTAGAAAGAATAAAACATTGGCTTCTGATTTTCCTCACATTTTTGCTTGTGCACATGAGGTGACTAAGATCACTCTCCATCACTCTTGACTTTTTTGAGAGCTGAGTTCCAAGACTGCTCTGTGCTCATCTGAAAGAACTGTAGCCAATTCCCTCCTTAGGTTCAGCTGCAGTTGTCAGCTTCTTATTTGTAACACATTTCAAGGGAAGCCTGGTTTTATTTTAGCTTTTCCCCCCTAAGGTTTATTTTTACTTATGTGTCCATGTACATAGGTGCATGTGAGCTCAGATGCCTGCAGAGGCCATAGGGTATCATATGTGCTGGAGCTGGGGATACAGACATTTGGGAGCTGCCTGACATGCTGATGAGAACTGAACTTGAGTCGTCTGGAAGAGCAGTATTTGCTCTTAACCATTGAACCCATTGTCTTATTGTTTCAATTGATTAAAAATGTAAAGTGAGTCTCATGTCTCTGGGTTAGTTTGCCATTCGAATCCTGTGCTGTGACTGTCTGAGCATAGGAGGCAGAAGGCTGAGCTCCTTTTGGGGAAATGATCAAGACTTTGGAGCTTTTTTCTCTTAATCTTTTCCTTGACTCCCCTTTAGGGATGCCTTAATACATTTTGGCTTTGAGGAGGATCCATGATTTAAAAGTAACTCACAGTGGTTGTTGTTAGGTTTATAGATGTTTGAAATTCTTTCAGTTTAGAGGTAAGGGTTGCCTAACCTTAGTTCTGAGCTGTGAAGTTCATAGAGACTGATGGGCAAACCTTCTCAGGCTTCCTTTTGCTCCATGGTTGACTGGTTGTTTATTTTGGGGACTACTTAGCATTTTATTATGTTACACAGTTTATATTTGCAAAGTTCACTGGGAAGTTGCTGTTTCACAATAATTAGAACAGTGGAAGATAAAACCAGTGTGTGTTTATGAGATGATTTTAGATTACGTATTTGAAGTTATATATTATAATGTATGTTAGAAAAATGTAATTACTATGTCAGACTTACCTGGTGGAAATAGGACAAAACTGAGTGTAAGTAATTGGTGTAAAGAAAATTCTGGATGAACAGTTCATATAGTTGGCAGATAAAGAAAGGGTCATGAAGGTCGCATGCGAGAGATTTGGGAACTGTTAAGCTAGAGTGTGGATTGTATTTGCTTCAGAGCATGCAAAGGCAGGATTTATGGCCATCTTTTGCGCTACTTCTGCTATGTACAAGTGAGGAACAACGCATCATGGGTTTTAACTATTTTCCTGAAGTTGCTGAGCTATGTGTATTAGCTAAGTTTCTGTTCTTTTAAGTACGTTTGAAGTTACCACTCAAGTTCTTTCAGTCTTAATTCATAAAGTTAACCATTTTTCAAAGGACTGTTTATTGTGGGAAAGTACAAAGAAGGCTAGCAACCATAAAGTGAGGTGCTTTGTACACACTACCCCGTTTGATCCTCAGTTCCTGTTTGGTTCTAGGATGCACTGCCCTCTCACCATCTTAGTCACCTTTTAGGGTCAATAAGTGAGAAACTGAAATCACTTTAGGACCTGAAAAGCAGTATTTGAGTTAGCCCTGCCAGTAACCCTGTTGTAAGACTAGTAGGATGGCCAGTGATACACCCTGGAGAGGAATCTAGTGAAGGTCAGAGGTGATGCAACTTTTAAATGTAAGCAACTCAGTGGTGCATTCAATTAGGCATTCTAACTCTAGGCACCTTCTGTTTACACTGTGCTTATAGTGTGTCCTGGGATGTGCTGTGCAGTTGTCCTTGAAAAGGTAATTTCATGCTAGTCCTCTTGGGAAAAGACTGATACATAGTGGATAATCACTAAGTGTAGGTTCTCAGACTGTCCATTAAGAAATACTGTATTTGGCCATTTAAGTGATTATTGCATGAAAATTTTGCTTGACAAGGAATAGTTTTGTTTGCTATGTGCTGGGAAATTATGGACATAAAGTTAGACATGCACAACTTTATTGAATGATATTGATGTTTATGGCAGAAGGGTTGGACATAGTCAAAGAGAGCATGTAGGCTGCTCTTTGGAATCAGGTCTCTTTCATTTAAGCTATACTGAAATAATCTGATTTATCCCCACAGTTTAATCCTCTCTCTCCTCTTTACTCCCTGGATGTTCTTGCTGATGCTTCTCATCGAAGGTGTTCCCCTGCACACTGCTCTGCCAGGTAATTGGCTCCCAGCGGTGATTATGTTCTTTTGGAAAGTGCTGTGTTCCTTATCATAACACTTGAGATTGTGTGGTATTATGTGCACAGGATCTGATTTGATCCTTAGAACAACCTTTAGAAGTAAGTCCATGTTTCACAGATGTGGTAACAGGCTAAGAGTGGAGGAATTTTTCCTGTGATCACATGGTCGTGTCTTCTGGCTCATATTTTGTATTATTTCTGCGGCTAAAAGCCCATCTTCAAAGAACAGTATTAATGTCCCTTGCCATGACCTGCAAAGCCCTGCATAATCTGATTTCCGCCAACATGGCCAACTTCCTTTCCTACAGTCCTGTCTCTTCTCTGAGCGGAAAGATCTAGCAGTACCAGGGAGCTCCATTTTCTTTTTTCTTCTTTGAAAATGGCAGACCTTTGCTCTCATTCTTGTTGTCTGGAAACCTCTTTGCACCCCTGGATAAGGGGTCATCTACAGCACCATCTGTTTCCTCCATAGGTCTTACCATTGTCTGTAGTGAATATGTGTACTAGTTTATTTAAAATTCCACCTCTACCCTATTGTCTTTCTCTAGAGTGCAGAGACCTTGTCTGATTCCCTAATAAATCTCAGCATGTGCATCTGGCACTTGTTAGGCATTCTGTATGTATATGTCACATTTGTCATTATGGATTCCCTTAATTCAGGTATGGTGTGATGATGGCACTTCTTAGCAGTGTTATTGTGCACAGAACAGCTAACAGTCTGGACCAAAGAACTCTTGTTAGTTTTGGTAGCATGAAGAATTTCTTCTCCAAGGTTCTGATGCTTTTTGTTTGGTTGGTTTTTGTTTTGGTTTTTTGAGACAAGCTCTCACTTTTGCTATGTAGCTCTGACTGTCCTGGAACTATGTAGACTAGGCTGGCCCCAAACTCACAGATCTGCCTGCCTCTGCCTCAGAAGTGGTGGGAGTGAAGGGGGGTTACACTACACCCAGCTTCTGATGCTTTTTTATTAGTCACCTCATAAGTAAATGTGCTCATAGACTTGTGCTTTAGCTGCACAAAGAAGTAGCTGTTCTTTGGGCATAGTTACTAAGAGTTAGGATAATGAGCCCTGTTGCATAACCTACTGCTAGATCTTTCTGCTGAAGAAGTATTTTAAGTCTTTTGAAAAGGAGAGGCCATTGTAAATAGTGTTGCCAAGATGTGGAATTGGGGCTTATACAAACTTCCATTGTAGGCCTTTACTCCTGTATCATACTGTTTATCATTCATCTATCCATTCATTCAGCATTTGCTGACTCTCTACTATGTGCAAAGACCTTTGTTTTTGTTTAGAACTGAAGCGCTCATGAGAAAATCAGATATAGAAACTGATAGCTATGATAAAAACTTGCGCCTGAAAGCCGTAACACACAGAGATGGAGTTCCTAATGCAGACCCATCGGGGGTCTAGATTTCAGTCCATAGAAGAACACCTCTGTGTTTTGTATACTATTTGTAGTAGCTGTTTGTGCTCTTTGGGAAGACCAGATGAGCAGTACCACATAAGTCCAGCATACAGAGTGGATTACTCCATCCTCCTCCTTCCATGTCTGCTACCTGGGCTACACTTAGGATAATAGCATTGGCATTTCTCTCTTCTTCATTAGAAGCCTCTCCCCGACTCTTCTGTGGCCAGTACCCAGAGCTAGATTCATGATACTTTGTGCATCTTGTTACTCTGTCATTATGGTTCCTCTCTTGACTGGTGGCATTTGTGGGTGGCCTTAGAAACATTAAAAATTCTCAGCCAAACTTCTAGTGTGTGCAGCTGTGTTACCGTTGCTTTGAGCTCTTGCTAGAAGCAAAGGAGAGAGAATAGAGGCCATTACCAGTTGTCTTTGTCTTGTCTTTAGGTAGCAGTCCCAGATTAGTAGGCTGGGTGCAGGTTCTTTGAAGTCGGGGCGGGGGTAGTTTGAGTTAACAGTTATTGTCTTATCCTTAAGTTTCTCTGTTTTAAGTTATATAACTCTGTTTGGCTTATACCACATGTGTGTGCATTGTATGTATAGTATCTTCTGCTTCCTTGCAGTTTTCACTTAATGAAGGACACAGGAAGATTTGAAAGGTGCTGTTCTGTAGAATGATTAGAGCAGGTGTCTTTGGTGCAGGTTTCAGAAAATACGAGTGAGAGTCACTGAGTTCTTAGGGATAGCTCTCAACCATTTATAGTGATGGGTCTCCATGCAGCAAGGTGTCATTGGAGCAGGACCTATCTAACTCTAGTTGGGGGACTTGTATGATGGGATTTGGAACCATGCAGAGTCTTTTAAGAAGAGTGGACCATTTAGCAGAAGCCTTGCATCAAGGAGAGGGTGTAAAGGAGCAGAGTGCTGGAGAAGAGGTAGCTGAATGACAGCATTACAAAGTGTTTCCAATGGAGATTTTATCTTTTTCTTGTCCCATTTTATTTGTAGTAAGAAGAAATTCTGTTCAAAGCATCTGGGCAGCACTGGGAATTTTACACCCATCATTAGAACGATTTGTGCGCGTGTGTGGTGACTGTGTTATCATTAGTGGTATAATTTTATTTTGCAAAGAGAGAAGTGTTTCCTGTTTTATCACAGCTTTCCCTGAGGAGGGCTGCTGTATTAATTTGCTGTATTGCCTCCTGGCTGTTCCCAGGCTGTTTTTCCTCTTCATCATGGAATTTTTAATGGCCCTCGTGCCTCCTGGGAAGCATGTGAGGAAGAGTTCCTCAGGGAGTGCTTCCCTTTTTTCACATGCCTATAATTACTCTCCTTTAAGAGCACAAAGAGTCTAATAATCATGCCTGGGCTCTGAAGGTTCCCTCCTGTCAGGGATCTGAGCGGAGCTACTTCCTTGCTGGACACTGCTGTCTGCACTCTGCTCGACTTCAGCATCTGAACATGGCCACCTCAAAAACCACATACAGCTTGGGACTTCAGAGTAAGCTGAGGCCACTGGGGTATGGTGAGTGACCTCAAGTACTGTAGGTTAGCATTTCAATATATGCAAATAAATAATGAGACCTAATTTAAGGTAACACTGTATGAATGTGTCATTTGGCAGGTGGCGACTTGTGAAGGGAGACTTTTGTGGTTATTGTACCATTCAATGAATTTATAGGTTCTCTCTAAAAATACTTCAGTTTGGTGGTAGTTTTCAACCTTTACTCTATTTGAGAGTCATCTGGAGAAGCCTTAAAAAAAACGCATTCATAAGCACTAAGGGAGAGGGCTTCATTGATAAAGTACTCTGTACAAGCACTGGGACCTGAGTTTGATCCCTAGCACTTATATTCTCTCTCTTTCTCTCTCTCTCTCTTTCCCTCTCTCTCTCTCCCTCTCTCTCTCTCTCTCTCTCTCTCTCTCTCTCTCTCTCTCTCTCTCTCTCTGTGTGTGTGTGTGTGGGGGGGGGGTGTCTCTCTCAAGCTAGACACCTCAGTATGTATCTATAATTTCAGCACTGGGGAGGCAGAGACAAGAGGGTCCCTGGAATTTGCTGGCCAGACACTCTAGCAAATCAGGGAACCCCAGACTCTATCTCAAAAGTTGAAATACAATTGAGGAACATGCGTAATACCAGCCTCCAGTCTTCATGTTCATATATGTGCACCTGATCCAAATGTACACACAAAAGCACATATGTGAACACATACATGCACTCAGATTAAAAACAGCAACAACCATCCATGCTGAGCCTGGCCTTTGCAGATCAAATGTTGTTGGTCTGGGGAAAGGCCCAAGCGTTGACATGATTTTAGAGCTTCTGAGATGACTGCTAGGCAACCAGGGTTAAGAACTGTTGCCCTGAGTCCTGGTGGTTTCATGACTGGTCCTTAACAGGGCACCTATTGTGCAATGGGTACAGGTTCAATGCTTTGGTATTGTGAGCATCATTCTTCATTGAAACAAACCACTAGGATTCCTTTAGCTCCAGAGAAGCTGTTCCAGGTGAAGAAGAGTTGTTACCTAGCATGGTATGCAGCACATAGTTGACGAATGAAGACAGAGTTTTATTGGTGTGGAGCGGTACATGAACATTTGGCTGATACCTGGGTACAATCCATACAGCTGTAGTTTTGTTTGCTAGCATGCCTGCATTGGCATTTGCTGTTGAAGTAGTAATGTGTAGTGCTAAGAGTTGCCGCTACACAAACAGCAGATGGGGTGGTTGGTGTTCTGGTAGAGGCAGTGGTATTGCAGACAAATTTGCAATGAGACAGAGCTGTCGTCATTTTTCCCTAAAATGGGATTGACTGTGAAGAATCTTATCCTTAGCATACTACCTTCAGAAGACAAGTAGAGACTACCAGTTGCTACATCTGACACATGTTACTGGCTGACATATTTGAGTGCTTTAAGGCAGTTTTTAGTTTTCTCTTGGTCCCCCTGATTTGGAAATGCTTCTATTACCAGTTATTCTCTAAGTTCTGAAATAGGAAAACACTGTTCTAGTATCTTTCCCCAACTCCTAAGTATGCCAGTTTCCTTGTAAATAAACTTTTCATTTGTGAAATCTTATTTTCAGCTGAGTAAGGATGGCAGATTCCCAAGCATGTATTCCTATAATAAACATGGATTTTACTCAGAGAACAAAAAGTCTCAGTATCTCCTGTTGTTATCATTGCTCATGTGATGTTGGGGAGAACCAGCATTAAAGGCGTGGGGATTATTGTATGGTAGACTCCAGTCAGAAACTTGGGTTTACCTGGACAAACACTTAATCTCCTTGTTCCTCTGTTTCCACATGTTAAAAGTGGAAAACTTTTTTTTTTTTACTGGACTAGCAGGGATTGAAATGAAATAATGTATGTAAATATTCAGCAGTTTGGCGACCAGCATTATTTTTGGGTTGCTTCCCTATCCTGTCCTTGGGGTGATTTCAATTTTAAGACCTTTGAGCTGGCTCCAGACTTATTTGCTAATGAGATGCAATATAGATTCTTGAGGGCCTTAAATGGCCTCAATTGACTCTAAGAAGAGGCATTTGGACAGTGCTTGGTAGAAAGAGAG